CATAGTTTTCCATCTGGCCATACTGCATATGCTTTTCAAGGACAAGTGTTCTTATCACTAATATTACTAGAATTTATTTCACAATACAAACACTCAAATAATTTAATTGTACGAACAATTGTATTTTTACCTTGTGTATGGGCTTGTATAGTTGGATTAACTCGCTTTTATGACCATCACCATGCCATTTCTGATATTCTTGCAGGAGGAATTATTGGAGCATTTATTGCATTTACAACATACTATGTGTATAAAAATAAAGTTTCTAAAAAGAAAGAATTAACAGATGAAGAGTTATTTGCAATTGAATTTGAATAATAACATTTATTTTCATTAAACCTAATAATAGTATATTCTTTATCTTTTATTTTTTCGTTTAACATCTTTTTTTATAATATTTTCTTTTTAATTACTTCTTAATTCTTATTCCTTATATACAAAATCTCATTATTAGAATTATTCTTATGTAATAAATTTATAGCCTTATTCAATACAAAGTATTCTAAATGAATTAAAAAAGAAATAATAAAACTAAAAATCTAACATAAGAATAATTAAATAATAATTTATTCTTTTAAATACTCTATTCATTCATTGGTTAGTAAAACATATTCAAATTGATTTTTTATTAAAACATTAAATTCTTTTCAATATCAAAAAAAATTTTGAATTTTATTTAATAAGAAATAATAAACTTAGTTTCAAAAGTGAAGATATTATATGTTATTTATTATGTAATAAAAATTTTATGTACTTCTTTTTCACAATAACATTTTCAATTTGGTTATTTACTGTTTTTACTCTCAATGAGTTGTTTCAATAAAAGTTTAAGTTAAATAAAAAAAAAGAATAAAATAAATAATGACATTTGTTTGTTTATTCATGTTTTCATTGTTTTGAGAAGTTATAGCATTATAACTATTGTTAGTTTCATCTACTCTCTATGTTATCAGAGTTTTTATTTGGTATGATAGTTTGTGAATCTATACCATTATAACTACTATTAATATATGATTATACATAATATTTTTCACTTGTCTGATTTGTAATATCACTAATATTGTTATTATATCTATATCATTTTCTATTTCTTTTAATTTTTTATTGTTAATTTATCATTAAATCAATCATTATTTATCACAACTGTAATGATTTCTACATATTATCTTTATATTTCTGAATTTTTCTTGTAATATTTTGTATTTATTTAATTTAATTAAATAGTTATTGTTATATTTTCATTTTGTACATTAATTATATCATTAATATGTATTTTATTTTGTTTATTTCTTAATGATATATTTCTGATATTCTTTTAAATTTAATGTTATCTCATTTTAATAACTATTTGTTATAAGCAATTTTAATTAAACAATAGACTGATGTTATGTAATGAAGTAGATATTATATATTTATATTTTCTATTTTTTATGTTATTTTTCTGGTTATTGGTTTAAACATTTCTTCACTTCCATCTTTATATTATCAGTTTGTCTTTTCTTTCCTATTTTACATACTAATAATATATGTAGTGGAGATGCTGTATTATTTGTTCAATATAAAAATTTAAGTTAAATAAATAAAATAGAATAATTAAAACAACAAAGATAAATTGATTTCAAGCTATATTTTTGTTATTTCACATAATGATAAGAAATAGAACATAATAGAAGATTGATATCTTTAGTTGAAAGAATCGATTATTTCATAGTCTATGAACAATCAATACGCACCACTTACATTACTTATTATTGCAATAGTCAATGCTATTATTCATTGGAATGCTATATTAAATAATAATAAAATGATGGTACAATTAAGTAAATGCCCTTTTTGTTTAATTATGGGGTTGTTTCTTTTTGTTTCACTTGAAGAAGCACCTATTGTATTTATTCTTGGGTATATATTTTCATTTCTTGGAGATTTCTTTTTGTTATTTGAAGGTAATATATTTTTAGTCGGGATGCTATCCTTTGGTCTTGCACACATTTGTAATGCATATGCATTTATATCTGTTTCGGTTTGTAAAATTAAATACTTAACTTGTTAATAAAAAATTAAATAAAATTAATAATACAATTAGGCATTATCATTTGAATGGATTGGAGTTTTTGTTTTTATTTTAGTTTTTATATATTGGACAATATTAAAGAAATATACTATTCTTCCAGAATATATGAGGAAAATAGTTTATGGTTATTTGACTATTATTTCTATTGGATTTTACGGTAGTGTATGTTTATTTAATAATGCACAATGGACGTTATCGTCTCGTTTAGTTGTTCTTATTGGATATTTATTTTTTATATTAAGTGATTCTATTTTAGGTATTTCCTTGTGGGTAAAAACAAATTCGTTTATTCGATTTTTAGTAATGTTTACTTATTATATTGCTCAGTTCTTGCTTGGATTGGGATATGTTCTTGGCTTGAATGAAAATCAAAATTTAATTCCAATTTAATACTTTTTTTATTAATTTTCATTTTGGACTAAAAATTAAAACTTGTTAGTTATTCTATGGAAGCTGTTTTGTTTGATTTTAATGGTACTTTAATATTTGATACTCCTCTTCATGCATTTTGTTGGAAAGAAATGGCAAAAAGAATAAGGGGCAGTCCATTAAGTGAGGACGAATTTAAATTATTAAATGGTAGAACAAATAAACAATTAATTGAATATATTCTCAATAAAGAAATTAGTGATGAAGATGCAAAGAAGTATGCCGAAGAAAAAGAAAATTTATATAGAACAATGTTAATGAAAAGTGATATAAAATTATGTGATGGTGCAATTAATCTTTTTGAGACATTAAAGAAACGTAATATTCCTTTTACTATTGCTACTTCAAGTGATTGGGGAAATGTTCAATTATTTATTCAAAAATATCATTTGGAAGAATGGTTTGATATTGATAAAATTATATTTAATGATTTTACTTTTAAAGGTAAACCTGCTCCTGACATTTATTTAAAAGCTTCAAAGAAATTGGGTGTTGATATTTTTCATTGTATTGTATTTGAAGACACTATTTCAGGTATTCATTCAGCACTATCTGCTGGTGCTACTCCAATAGGAATTGCTTCAGAGATGACTGTTAATGACTTACTTCAAGTTAAAGGATGCAATTTAGCAATTCATACATTTAATGAGATAACAATTGAGAAGATGATTGATTTGATTAAGAATAAATAATAAAGGGTTTTTGATTTTCTGTTTCTCCCCGTTTTTTATTTCTAAAAAGTTCCCAAAAAAATCATATATAATCATTTAAATGTCACAAACAGAAGGACATCCTAATAAACAGAAAACAGAAAATGAATGCATTAGTGATACTGTCCCTACAACTAAATTAAACGGTATAGATGCTCATAAAAATAATAATACAGATTCATTAAATACTAATGAAAGCCAAAACACAAAATTTGAACAAGAAATTGAAATGGGAAACGTTGAAGGACATGAAGTTAGTTTAGGAGAAGAAGGTTTAACTCAATTAAATGAACTACCTCATACAGGAAATGAACGACAACCAAACAACCAAAATAATAATAATAATAATGATAATAACAATAATGGTGATAATGATTATGTAAATAATGATTATAGTTCAGATATTGGGTCATACATAGTAGTTATATTACTGTTTTTCTTTACTCATATTTTTTATACAATATTTATTATAGTTGATTTTATTCAGCACTATTATTTAACTGAGTTAGTTAAACAGTATATAAATACAGGAGAAAATAAAATACGTATATTAGCATATTGTATTCCTTCTGTTTTATTATTTATTATAAAGGTATGGCAAATAGGAATAATTGATATGATAGATATTACTGTTACTCCAAATTCTTTTATTAATCTATTTATTCACTTATATCTATGTGATTGTTTATACCGTTATGTAAATTATTATCTAAAGGCTTTAACAATATTTTTAACTAAAAATATATTATTATTATGTAAATTACTCTCTATGATAGAATCAATTACATTAGCTTTAAGAGTTATTCTTCCTACTTTTATTATTTATAACTATCTAATTTTATATACTACAATAACAAGTCAATGGATTAACTATATTGCCATATATCCAATAATCTGGATTTATGTGTTTGGGCGTTGTCGTGGATTTGTTCATTTTCTTTCTTGTTTCTTTAAAGTTCTTAAAACCTTTTTCACACAAAACAATATATTTGGAACTTCAGTAACGTTAGAATCGTTAGAAGACAAAACGTGTTTAATTTGTCAAGATACTGTTAATCGTCCAATTAAGTTAAAATGTGGTCATGTCTATTGTGAAGAATGTATTTTTAAATGGCTCATTCAACAACCAAGATGTCCCATGTGCAGAGACTTAGTGGTACAACCACAGACATTTGTTGGTTTTAATGGAAATACTCGTTTTGTCCCAGCACTATACTTTTTCTAAATGAGATTTATATTATAAAATTCTTATTCATTTTTGTGTATTTTTTTTATATAAGAACTGACAAATTATTCAATAGTGACATGATAAATTAGAACCAATTTTTCTAATGAATGTTGTTCTTTATCTTCCTACTTATAGTGAAATTTTTCATTTCATTTTAATTAACCACAAGTGCAATAGCGTTATTCAAAATATTAAAACTATTCTTTTCTTTAATAACTCTCAATCAATTAAATCATTTTATAAAAGATTCTCACCACCAACAGTTAATCTTTCAAATATATATACTTCAATTATTCCTTTTTAATTTAAAGTTCAACAAATTAGAAATCCAACGTTTGTTGATATTGACCTATATCCTGTAGATGATGGTATTAAATTATTAAACAAAGTAGTTTCACTATATTTATTAACAAAAACTGAAGGAGATAAATTTTTGAAATTTTTTATTCATCACGCAATTGCTTTTACTAATATTCATAAAATTGGAGGGCTTTTAATGCCATTAATCTCATTTTTCAAAAGTTCTACTAATGATGGAAAAGAGTTATTCGTTAAATTTCCTGAATTGGTTATTGTTTCAATGTACGAGCATAGTCTATTAACACTTAATGAGAATTCAGTTAACAAGATAGAAGAATTAGTTAAATATATTCGTATAACTGGACAAAATCAAGTCATATGTATATTTTCTTTTCACGCTACTAAAAGTGAAGAACATTTATTACTTCGAGTTAGGAAATTGAAAATTAATTATTTTTATCAAGACTTAAAGGACTATTGTGATTTAATGAAAAATTGTTTTTTCTGTAATAAAGGGTTATTTAAGATTAGCTATGGAATTGGTGATAATAAATAATATCATCGAACAGTCATATGCCTTTGATGTTATTTGTGATATTGGTTTTGAAAAAATAAATCTAAATTTTGGTGATACAAAAGAGTGGAAAGTTCCAGAGTGTGTAAAACACTTAATGTTTATTGGATTAACCATTCAGACATTACCAAAAATAGTCTTACACCAATAACAATGAATTGGCTTAATG